TTAGCAACAGCCCGAGTAAAATACTGTATGTGATTTGGTACAAAACGCTCGATTCATGGTTAATCATTGTAAAAGCACAGAGCACATTCCTCTCTCTGTTGATGTTTCCACAAGAAGAGTTTCATTCGGTGTGACTCCTCCTGTGAGAGGCTGTGTCTAAACACGCTACAACGAGTACATGGTACTTAAAAAAGATTGCAGGAAATGAAGAACGTCAACACGCAGTAGCTCTCACAGCTCCAGCTCTCCATCTCTGACTTAACTAAACCAGGAAACTGACTAAATTGGTCAGAACTCCCAAGGCCTCCAAATTGCTGATTTAAGGGTGACCTACTGTATGACATACTTGCAGGAAGATGGCTCTCCAGGATCAGAGCTGGCCATCCTTGTTCTATAATCTTTATCAGGTTGAACCATTTAACAGCTATAGAGCTGTCACTCAGGACAACAGCTATAATTCACAACCAGGTATCTCTGTATTAATTTGTTTACAGTATTACCTGTGCATACTTGCAAATTAGTGTGACACTTACTCGTTTCTATGCATTAAATAAAAGCCACACAGTAGAAGGTGGTGAGGACAAGAATATCAAATTGCATGTCAGTAGCTATATAAAACAATGAATAATAATAATAATCACTTACACTTATATAGCACTTTTCTGGAAACCCCACTCAAAGTGCTTTACAGGTAATGGGGATCCCCCCTACCACCTCCAGTGTGCAGCCCTACCTGGATGATGCGATGGTAGCCAGAGTGCACCAGTACGCTCCCCACACACCAGCTCTCAGGGGGCAGGGGAACAATGAAGTAATGAGTAATGAAGCCATATCAGAGATGGGGATTATTGGTAAAGCCCTATGGAAAATTTGGCCAGGACACTTGGGTAACACTCCTGCTCTTTTCAAGAAATGCCCAGGGATTTTTAAGGTCCACAGAGAATACTAACATCTCTTCCAGCAGCAACCTTAACTTTCCCAGAGGTCTCCCATCCAGGCGCTGACCGGGCTCACACTGCTGAGCTTCAGTGGGCTGCCAGTTGGGAGCTTCAGGGTGATGTGACTGCTGGCCAGTGCAAACTAATAAGTAGACGAAGAACAAAATGATTAAATAATGAAAGTAAAATAAATTAATCAAATAAGACATTTCCATCCAACCATTCCCTAACCGCTTCTTCCAATGCAGGGGTGCAATGGAGCCGTAGCCTATCCCAGCAAGCAACGAGTGCAAGGCAGGATACACCCTGGGTGGGATGCCAGTACATAGCAGGGCAAACACAAACCCCCCCACACACACACACTCGGATGAATGCCAAGGCCTTTTTTCCAAACCTACCAATTTGTTTTTGGACTGTGAGAAGAAACAGGAGCACCTGGAAAAAAAAAAACCATAAGCAGAACATACAAACTCCACACCGATAGAACCCCAGGTCTGGAATTGGACCCAGAGCTGCGAGGCAAAACGAGCTACGTCTCGGTGCTTACAGTCAGATTTCAGTGCGCTTCACCCTGCTGTTTATACTGCATGCCAGGCTGCCAGCTCTCCCTGATGATACTGCAGTCTCTAGGAACAATGAGACTATAAACAACAAAACTGTGATCAACACGGACATGATTCCGAGACTGAGAGAGCATGGCAGAAATAACATTAATCTGTTCATGGTGTTTTGTGAAACATTATCTCAATGAGCTTTACAACATATCAAAAAAGAGACAGGTACATAAAAATTACATCAAAATGTCCACAATAAACAAAGAAAACAGATTCATCTGCTTTTAATTTAATAACCACTCCTCTCTGCTCCCAACATGACCTTTTAACAATAATCTAGAATGATCAATCATCTGCAGTAAAAATGATAAATAGGAGTGAGGCCTGTGTTTGCTTTTGTATTTAAATATCCAACGTAGAATTATTCATACAGAAGAAAACACTGTTCAAAACAATTCCTAACTTGAAATCCTCTGGAATGCACTTTTAAATTTTGCCGGGTGTACCATAGAAGTTACAAATATTGGATTGGAAAAAGGCCTTGTAATAACAGATTAAATTCAAAGACAGTTGGCTACCATGGAGAAGATTATTTAAAACCATTATATAAAACTCCAAACCACGCCAAACAGAATTGGGTCAGCATCTTTTGGAGACAGAGATTTGAAAATGCGATTTTAAACGTGATCACATTTTTTTTTCCCCAGTCTCCAACCAGCCCCAGCCCGGTTTTTAAGTGTCCCAGGAGATGATGCTTGTTTTGACTGCTCTCGACTCCACCGTGCAAAACATTTGACTTGTCGTTTTCGAAATCTTCCAGCTGTGGGATAATGAGAACCCTTCCCACAGCCATTAAGTCTCCCAAACTGCCCAAAGGGTAGGATGGCCTGTTATTACAGAGCTGTGGAGGAACATGTGGAATGACAACTATCCAGGAGGCAGAACTGGTGCCCGGTCTGTGATAAAGACCACTTTCACTGTAGTCCCGAGGGCTGGAAGTCCCCCTGGCGCCATGCAATTCTGATCCCCTCCCTGCACTAATACTCATTATGAGCTAATGCCCATTAGACACAGGGCGCTGCTAAACAAGCACAGACTGCAGAGCGCAGACATACACATCCACCTCTGGGAGAGATCCTCAGACCAATAAGCTTCTAAAGCAACCAAATTTGCACGTTGGGTCGTCTCTTCTCGTATAGAATGTTCTTAAGCCTGGCAAAATAAATAGGAGGGGGGTTCTATTGCAAATTTACCTTCTTGCGTTTCCATTTTTAAACAACATTTTAACATTCATAAGTTATGGCCATTGTGCTATCAGATTGTAGGATAAGGTCATGAAAAATCCCGATTCTTTCTGGTTCCTGCCTCGGGTCCTGCCCCGATATCGTGCAGCAGGTAAACACTCATTAAACTAAGTTGTGACAAGAGCTGGGTCACAGTCTTCATCTTGTATTTGTGTGAACCTCTGTTTCAGTGTTTCCCTTCAGTGCACTGATAACATTTTGACCATCAGCTGTGGAGGTTCTCCATTGCCAACTGTCTCAAGGTACGTTAAACAGTAGGGAAGGCACTTTTCAGGCGGATGTTATTGACAGATGCTGATGTAGACCTCACATTTGAATGTGTGAATATGGCATTTGTTAAATGGATACACAGTTGATCAAAAAAATCCCCACAAATACTACTTTACTGTAGATAATTTATTGCAGGAAAAAAAAACAAATTCTCCAAATATTTTACAAACAAAAATAAAAGGATATCTTACTTAAACTTCTAATGGCTCCAGTTTACTCAACAGGCAGAATATTAAATACAAAAAGAAAAAAAAAGTGTAATAAACTGTGCTCATCCAGTCCACATTACACAAGAAGCAGAAGAAATAACGTCCACTTCCATACACAGTGTTTTCAATAGTGAAAGTTGCATAGAACAGAGTGAATCAACAGGGAAAGCACAGAATAACAGAGGATACACAGTGTCCTACAGCAGTGGTTTCTCACTATGGTCCTCAGTTCCTTCTGCACCTTTATCTCCACTGTAAATGAATTCTTAATTACTCAGGTAAATTGATCCCATGATGAATTATGGCCTTTATGTATTTTGATAGTTACAGTATGTTCTGGACCCAGTCTTTGGTAATTCCTGGCTACAGGTGCATAGTTCCCCAAGACATTCAGTCTGTCTCCTCAGAAACCTTTTGCTTCCCTTTGTCTATACAGCACTTTATGGGTTATGAAAGTGGATTCTGAAAAGCCACACTCAACGCTGGGTTAAAACTATTTTCAAACCTTTTGCACTTTTTAAAAGTGAAGGATTAATTGAACAACCAGGCTGAATGAAGAAGGTGGGTTTGTAACTCTGGGCCTTTTCAGCCATGATCCAGAAGTCTCCTTAAGTCATCAGTAACTTAAAAATAAAATGGTTATGGTAATCCATTCAAGGCTCAGTTTGACTAGTGTAAGCCTTTTCCTCAAGTCTTAAATGGCAGTTGAATTTAAGAGACTCTCAAAAACCTGCTGGACTGTAGCCCTTGAGGACAGAGACTATAGCCCCCTGAATTAACACATCTGCTGTTCCGGAGTAATTAAGATTTCAGCTGAAAGGCAAACCCTTGAGCAGAAGGCCTCCTTGCACCAAGGTCTGAGAAACTCTGCCCTTACAAAAGAGGACATCACACCATGGTGTGTGTAGCTACTGCACAAAACGTCACAATCACTGGAATGCCCTATGCCAAAGCATCAAAATCCAGCAATGAGCAAAACTGTGGAGTCTATAAATAATTCACGACAGGAGAAAAAAAAAAGTTAAACGCCTTTTTTTAAAAAAGGGTACTTTGAAAGAATGAGAAAATGGTCGAAGAAGCTTCAGGTGAATAGCACCATTTGCACTCCAAGATGTTTTTGCTGTTGCTCAGGATTTTGTAAAAAATGTGAAGGAATTGGCAAAACAGGTCAAATGCAAAACATTATAGAAGAATCTCACTTGCAACACATTCACATTGATCCGCAAATACCAAAGACACTCAAATGCATAAACTACAGAACTTCTGTTACCTCCTTACTAATCCCACCCCCCCAGTCATCACAGTTTCACTGCTTTTAAGAAAAGCTTTGACATTTCTAAGTGTCCATCCTCAATAATAAAAGCCAACCTCAATTGAACACATGTCAGCTAACAAATTATTAAGATTGTTTTCTCTTGCTGGAAATAGCTCATTGTGTGCTGGCACTTGATAGGCTTAGGTACTGCCTGTCAGCTACAGGCAATATAACAGGAGTTAAAAATTAACATTAAAGCTAAAGTTAAAGCTACTGAAAGCCAAAAAGGTCTGAGGGATTCACAAAACTCAAACTCAATCAGGTTTCAAATCAAATGTGTAACTTACAGCTGTACAATCCTCTAAACATTCAGACCTAGCAGAACTAAAGTCCAACATTCAACTCAAAAGCTCACACTCAAATCACTTTTAGCAACCAAACCTAAAACCTTGAATAACATCCAAGATAAGACCGATGGAGCAAAACTGTTGATAACGTTTCTACAGCTTCACCCGACTGCATCAGATTAAACCGGTCTTTCAATTAACGGTAGAAAAGCCATTTGAAATCGTAAACAACTTTCACGTTTTCCCCCCAGCCTTTCACTGCGATGAGTGACATGAGGCTGAACACTGAAAATATCGTATTTTCCTTTTAGGACCACATAATCCATACTGGCCTGGGTGCAAATCATAAACTCCACTCACACTGTGGGATAGCATTGGTGAAGCAGAAAAGGACTGGTTGAGACAGGTGTACCAGGACCATATACCCCTACATTTTCCCACTGGAGCGGAGGTAAATGGAAATGTTACACCACTTCTCAGGATTACCGAGGAATCTGACAGCGACACTAATTTTACCGGTTTGAGCATTTGCTTTCTCCCTGTATGGGATTTGCCCCACCAATACAGTCAACATTCTAGTTGAGAAGCTATGAAACTCTAGAAATACTTTAAAAAAACCAAAACAATGGGACGTTCAGCTTGTGCTGGCTTTACAAGACACGAAACTGAAAACCTTCATCTGGCAATCGAGCATCTTGGACTAGAAGATTTGAGCTCTTGAGAAAAACTGGGGCTGTTAACAAGTAGTGTTATTTTATTCATTCACCCATGGAAACAGGAGCAGTCAGCCTTTAAAAATGTCCATCAGCATCTTCTCCCCTGTAAACGCTGAGGACATTCCATCCCGGGACTTGCCACCCTCTTGCACATACAATACTCTGAATACTAACTTGCAAAGCTGGACTGAAGAAAGGATATTTCCAAAATGCCTTGATCTGAGGTACTAACGTACATTTGACTGTAAATAGGAGAGAGATTTGGATAGAAAACCTTTCCTGCTCCAGTTAAAAAATGTTTAAAGAGCTAAATGCTGTAAGGAAACGTTTCAGAAGACCAAATCTACAAATTGCCAGCCACAGAGGGCTTTTGTATTCCTCCAGCAGGGCAGAAAACACAATGTCAATAAATTTTGAAATAAACTGCTGCTTCAGCTAATGTGCAAAGCCTTCAGTGCGGTGTATAATATTTGCAGTCAGCTTTGTTCCCTGTTTAATGAGCTTGAGAGTTCCCAGTGAAAGTGCAGAAAAGAAAGGCATTCCACCCACTTTCACTGACAAACATGCTGGAAAAAGACCAGTCATGCACATGAGCCAAGTTGGGCAAGATCAGTGCTTTAATAAGGATGGGAAGAACCTGGTTAACAAATATAAAAATCTAACCAAGAAACTTGCCTTTTTAGGGGTGAATCCATTTTAAAACTTCCTGTTTTACGAGGTCACTGAATAATTTAAGACTTTTGGGGTGCACTGTTTCATGCAGCCAGTCATTTTCAAATATAGATACAAAGTCTGGATATTTGTAAACGATACTGTCGCATATGGATTGGACAATATTCAAGCTGGTCATTTCTTAACGTCAGACTCAAACAGCTTCATGTGCACAGGAGTCTAACCTACCCAGACAAAATCTTGGCCTCATCTTTGTGAAAGAAAAAGAAACTGTTTATTTAATTACATCAAAGTACATCTTTTCAGTAAACAAAATCTGTACCTATTTGCCTATAGGGTCTGCTTCACCTACGTTATGATAACCATGAAGTTACAGATAAATGATATGCCCCACACTGTTTTCAAATTCTTTCTGTACAGTTGATTGGTTTTAGTATAGGTGGGCTTTGCAAATGACCACTTTTAAAAGTGGTTATGGATTTTAATATCATGTGTACTCCGAAATGGACCCGATTTGCACAATTTAAGTAGAGATCTAATATCTAATTATAAAAACAGTATTGTGAAAAGAGCCAAAGATACAGACCCAAAAAACTCTTAATTTTGGCATTCATAAGGGAAATATCAGTGAGCATTTGCAATTGTCATATATACACTTTGAAGCAGTCCCAAGAAAGGACACCTCTGAATGAATTCCTATGAAAATCAAAAGGGTTCTTTATATTTGTTTGGTGGAAGGAGAGGGGATATTGTAGTGTTTTGCCTTCCTGTATGTAAAAAAAGAAAAAGACCAGATTACAGAGGGGCCTGATGAGTAAATTCAACAGCTCTTAAGTTAGGCTTTTCATATCAAACAGCTGTTTCCCTCTTGAAACGGGTGTCCTTTCATTTATTAAAGACGTGTCACATAAATCAAATGTCCATTTCACACGAGAAGAGGCAGAATTCTGTGAAGTTACAAGATTTGCTATTTTAGGCCACAAAGTTTCAAAAGGTTACAGACTAATTTTTAGGCATCATCATTAACGAGAGATCATTTGCCATCACTTTTCATCCACGTGCTTTGCTGTTCAGTCAGACATTCAGGCAATGCGAGTTTACTTCAGTTATTCATGTTGAATGATGGAATCAACATCTTTGAAGTCGCTGAACTATAAAAGCTTATTGAAGGTCCACAATGCACACTAAACTGGCAAAATACACTGTTGCAGTGGAAGGGTCAATTTAAAATTTCACATAGTGGGTGCAGGTCAGGTCAAGTAACTGCTACCATTGTACACAAATATATAAAATGGCAACACTGGGCTTTAAAAGCACAATTTCACAAAAGGGGAGAAAATGATACTGCATTTTTTAAACAAGTCACATGTTCTATTCCAAGAAGAGTAGAATCACGTAAGATACAGCCTCACCTTTAACTGATAAGAGTAAATGTATTAAGGCAGTGACTCTCAGCTCTGGTACTGGAGGATCTGGTCAATTCTGGTTTTCCTTCAAGCACAACTTGAAAGTTACTGAGAAGATCTTATTTTTTTTACAGCACAGTTTTTGAGCACCTAAGTTGGATCCAGTTAGGAAACAGCATCTCCTCAATACGATCAAAGAAAACCCCTCATTCATGTGTCACAGCTACCCACCTTAGATGTTAATTATCAAGGCATTTGCCATGCAGAGGTGGATGTCAATACATCATAGCACTGATTGCAATAAGGGAGCCACCGTTAAAGCAACCAGAGAAAACTGATTGCACCTATCATGTGCAGAGAACTATTCAGTCATGGTAACTCCAGGACCAGGGCTGGGAACCACTGTGTTAAGGCACCAAGTTCACTCTCAACACAAGCATAACAAACAAGCAAGTAAGTAATCCTACTCACACCCAGTTTAGGAGTCAGGAGTACATCAGTGATTAAAAAAAACATTTAAATTATTCTTGCCAATTTGCAAACTACACTTTCAAATGGACACTTTTCTTGAAATGTCATACTACTCTGCACTATTAAAAGTTCCAACTTTCCCGTAGCTGTTTAGAGTAAGAAAAAGCATTACCGATTGCACAGAAGAAATCCAGCTCTGAACTCATCCGTTATACCATTCGGATTCTTAAGGCATTATCCAATCATTTTGCACAGGGTTAGGTTCAGATTCTTTAGTGGGAGTTACATGTAGAAATCTGGATTCATGGGACACTATGAATTATATTATTTTCGGTGTGTTAACAGGTACCACACATCTTCATAAGCCAACTCTGTTTTTAGAGCAAAAACTGCTCTAACACGCCCATCTGTAGTTCTCCAAGTATGCTACAGGGCCTTTCTCTTTGCAAGTATCTAAGATGGCAGCTCTCAAAAGTCTCCCATCTAAAGGACAGTTTCAGAAAAACTTCATTATAGACATGGAAGAACTCAAATGATTTTTAAAGAACTAGCAGCACCAACATTTCTCCGCTTCTCTCAGTATAGGGGTAACTCAGATGCCTAACTGAGAATGTGGGACAGTATATAGCTCACACTGGACTATGCAGTAATATTTAAAGGGGATCTTTGGTGCTAGGACTTGGTTGAAGTAAATGGAAACAGGAACTCAATATAATGGTAACCAAATAACACCAGAATCGAATAATTTTTACCACATTTCCATTACGTTGCAGTACCGTGCTGTTATATCACTGCAGAGAAAGCAAGCCATATTCTCTGGAAAAAGTCATTCTAAACCCATCACACCAGTCTCATCTGGTAATAGCTATTGGTGTGGGAGAGTATTCATGCCAAGTACAGTGGACTGCGCACAGCTGTCACTTCACAAGGAAAGAACAGAACATAGTTCAACAGGCCGCAGTGAGGAAAGTATGTCAACTAATACTGCACATGCATACCAATTCACCAAATTGGATGTATCACAAACATCAATATTGTTCCTGTTTTTTTTTTTGCTAATTTAATGTTTTTATCTGCACCCCATTTGTAACATTTGGAAACTGAATCTTATGTGGAGATAATCTAAATATTGCTGGTGGAGCAAAAAGCATTTGGATCTACAGGACAAGTATTATATTCTTCATCATCTGAAGGGTGAAAATAACGGATGAACTAAAGGATCAAATTTCATTGACCATTATACTGCTGTAGTTTGCATTTCTATTATAGTAAAGGGTTTCACCTCAACTCACAGCACCGGACACGTGATTGCTGAAAATGTCAGGATATGTTTAAGGTAATCTGAGAAAGATACTTTGCCTAGTCCTGATGTACTGTAACAGACACTAATAATTTTGTGTTAAGGATTGTTACTTATACCTTTAGCTCTCCAACAGAGTGGTTAACCATTTTTGTGTAAAGAAATGGTGCTCAAATAGCTAATATTTTACATACAAAACTCTACTCGATCAATTTATTTTCATTGTAATAAAACACACTGCAAAAACTATGGTTTTACTTTGTTACACCCACAATAGAAAGAGGGTGGTGTATTACATAGCAGAAGAACAAAATTAAGTGACTGAAGGTGCTGTGAAAAACTAAGAAATCTGCAATAGCAGAATTTGTGTTGTCTTTTCTAAATCTGGAGAATGGGACTTGAAGTTTCCACTTTGACATTTCCAAGGCTGCGAATGTAACATGGTTAGGCTTGTCATACTGTCTCACTTCTATTCCTCAGTTTAACTTTGATGAGGACAACTAGGCCTGTTTTTATCACTCAGCGGTTTGCATATAATGCTGGCACGGTGTCACAAAATCATAGAAAAGTGGTAAAACTCTTTAAACCCCATAAATAAATGGTACTGTTGTTCTGAAGCTGTCTCCTCACAAAGGATAACCAAGGAATGTCTGCTATATGTACACAAAGCAGTCTGAAGAAAACCCAGATACAATTAGACACCATCAGCAGAGCTTAAAGACCCAACTAAAACGGCAGCAGCACTTTTTTTAAAAGCAAAAACTTTTTGTACATATTCATACCCCGTCTGGAGGGGAACACGAGTAACAGAGTTGTCGTTTTTTGTTAAGACTAGGAGGACTCTGCTTACAAACGCCTGCCCTGTATAACTGCGGTGAAGACACTTAACTAGTCTGTAAACAAGGTCAAAAACATACTTCTACAAAATAAACAGCATGTTTAAGGGTGTAAAACCTAACCCCCCCCCAAAAAAACCTGACTCTTTCTGTGTGCAATTTTATTGCATAGCGTTTCCGGTTGCACGTCCTGAATTCGTGATCTTGGGAGGCTGCTGTCTGCTCCCCACCCTTCGGCTTGACGGCTCCCGTGAGGGAAGTTTCTTCACAGCTGGAAGATCAGCACAGAGCTCCCTTTCACCCTGGAAAGACGCTGGATCCCGGGGATGTTCAGTAAACAGTTCTGAGGAAAGAGGAGAAAGTTCGATCAGTGCTGAAGATGGAAAGGCTGTATGATGAACCTCCTTATCTCTTTCCTGCCAGTTATAATGGGAATTAAGCTCTGCCAATAGAGTTCCACCTTGATTGACAATTTAACGAATACATTCCTGATAGGGGGAAGAATTTATTTGAAGTTCTGCATAGTTCAAGTACATCATGCAGGAATCCTAATGAAACTCAATTGCCATCTATCATTTTGACTTTGAACCCAGAAGGTTGTGGGTGCACAGAAAAAGCCGAGCAGTTTAAGTGAGGATCACCAGGTTATTTTGAAGAAGACTTTAGATCCACCGAGCTTGAAGTTGCAGATTCATCATAATAATAATAATAATTGCTTACACTTATATCGCGCTTTTCTGGACACTCCATTCAAAGTGCTTTACAGGTAATGGGGACTCCCCTCCACCACCACCTGTGTGCAGCCCCACCTGGATGATGCGACGGCAGCCACAGTGTGCCAGAACGCTCCCCACACACCAGCTATCGGTGGGGAGGAGAGCAGAGTAATGAAGCCAATTCATAGATGGGGATTATTAGGAGGCCATGATTGGTAAGGGGCAATGGGAAATTTGGCCAGGACGCCGGGGTTACACCCCTACTCTTTTCAAGAAACACCCTGGGATTTTTAATGACCACAGAGAGTCAGGACCTCAGTTTTACGTCTCATCTGAAGGATGGCACCTGTTTACAGTATAGTCTCCCCGTCACTATACTGGGGCATTAGGACCCACATGGACCGCAGGGTGAACGCCCCCTGCTGGCCTCACTAACACCTCTTCCAGAAGCAACCTTAGTTTTTCCCAGGAGGTCTCCCATCAAGGTACTGACCAGGCTCACACCTGCTGAGCTTCAGTGGGTTGCCAGTTGTGAGTTGCAGGGTGATATGGCAGATGGCTTGCTTACATCCGACCTCCCGGCAAAGAATCCTGTGCTGCACAGGGAGACATACAGGGAGGGACAGACATCCATCCACCTGAGCTAGCAAAACCAATCAAGCCATTCAATTTGTGATACAGTGCTGACATCGCCGCAGGCCTGTTGGCACCCAAGACATTGCAGGAATCCCTATTCCTCCGACAGCTCAGAGTACACCGTCCATGTTCCTGACAGTGCTCCATGACATCGCAACGTCAAGATCATCAACCTCAACCTGTACTCACGAGGATCACTTCTTAAAGAGAGCAGCAACAGAACCAGAGAGACACACCCAGCTTACATTTGTGAGGACAGAAAGATGTACAGTATGGGACAAGAATAAGTGGGTTCTGACTGCAGACTCTGTTTAACAAAATGGTGATAATGCAAAGTTGTTTTACATCTCAGGCTATGAATCTCGCGCTTTAGTTTACAACAAAAGGTTAAAGGTTTCTAGGAAATAAAAGGTCAGAAACAAATTAGGATACGTTTCCACTGCTGGAAGAAAAAGTAACCAAGTCTGCAGCTGGTTCAGGACAAACAGGCAGCTGGCTTACAGAGGGGGGGAAAAGCACCAAAACCTGCTTTAGGAACAATTGTTGTAATCCAACAAAAGAACAAAAAACTATTCAGTCCAGCTGGAAAATGTTCAAGTATGCTTCCTCCCATTATGAAAAAGTTATTCCTAAAATAAGTTGTAGCAAGCCAGAGTCTCTTGCAATCACATGGCAGGCTGGCACCCTCGATGGGACACAACACCACAACAGGGCACAAAATGCATAGGTTCCCATTAACTGAGCCAATGTGTCTTTGGAAGGTGGGAGGAAACCAGAGAAAGCCCAGAAGAACACACAAACTCCACACGGAAGAGTCGACTATTTAGAAACACTGAACACAAACTTTCCCAGTCTAATACTTGAGCCAAGAACTTGCAGTCTCTTAGTAGTAGTAGTCACAGAACAACCACACTTGCTAGATGCAGGATCCTTAATATGACCAATTCAAAAGTGGGGGGGGGAGGAATAGGAATGAGCAAAAAATGCGATTCACAATTCCAAAAAAAGACTATGTAGAGAGGATACATTCAGTCTGGCGTTGATTAAAGGAACAGGTAGAAGGTTTAATCAAAACTGAACAAAATCTGATCTCTACAATTTGGAAGACGCACAGAATAAGAACCATTTTCTGCATGGTCCCCCACCATTTAAAAAAAGGTCTAAATTACTCCAATAATCACAACTCACCGAGAAGACCCATCATTACCTGCATAGTCTTGGGGAAGCTCTCACCACAGTCCCTGTGCTGCGAACACAGATCCGTCTTGCCGCATTCTCTGAACCAGAACCCCCTGCTGCCTCCTACCTGACTGACTGACTAGGAAACGCTAAGATCTGAGAATGAACTGGCCGCCCCAGCCACTTCAAAACATAAGCTGTGCTGGGCCGACTACAACGAGGAGGCTCCTCGCCAAACCCCCACGTCTGGTCCCTGCCAGGGGCTTACACACCTAATGAGAAATGACATTCAAAAAATGAAATCATTTAAGGTACGGGCCAGAAAAGATTTCATGCACCCTTGCTGTAGTACATTTTACTAATTTGACGTAAGGTTACAAATAAAGAGGA